TACTGAGTTTACTAACCGCAAAGGCAATATCAGGCCTGGTACAGCTCATTAGATACATCAAACTTCCAATAATCCTAGCGTATTCTACGTGAGAGATACACTTTCCGCGACTTTTGGACAGATGAATGTTAGTATCTAATGGAGTCCTAGCCATTTGATAATCATCCTTGTTAAACTTTGCAAGGATTTTATCAACATAATGAGATTGACTTAACACGAGACCATCAGGTCTTCTCACGATTCTAATCCCAAAGATTAAATCTGCCAAACCCATATCCTTCATGTCAAATCTCGAATTTAACATGTCCTTGGTAGATTTGATCATTCGATCGTTACTACCCACGATGAGTATATCATCCACATATAAACAAAGAATAACATAACCGTCTATCGTTTCCTTAACATAGACACACTTGTCACTTTCGTTTATATTGAACCCATTGGTTAACATCGCATGGTCAAACTTCTCATGCCATTGCTTAGGCGCTTGTTTTAAACCATATAACGATTTAACCAATTTACAGACTTTCTTTTCTTGGCCCGGAATCGCAAAACCCTCAGGTTATTCCATATAGATTTCTTCATCTAACTCGCCATTCAAGAAAGCTGTTTTCACATCCATTTGATGAACTTCCAAATTCCGCAATGCGGCTATGGCAAGTATCATCCTTATGGAGTTTATTCTCGTCACGGGAGAATATGTGTCGAAGTAATCAAGGCCCTCGCGTTGCCTGTAACCCTTAATTACAAGCCTAGCCTTATACTTCTCAATTGAACCATCAGGTTTCAACTTCCGTCTAAAGACCCACTTGGATCCCAAGGGCTTACTACTCGGAGGAAGATCAACCAGTTCCCAAGTGTGATTCTGTAGGATAGAATCCACTTCACTCTTTATAGCCTCTTTCCACATTGGTCCTTCCGTAGCAGTCACAGCTTCTACATACGTTTGAGGCTCGTTTTCTAACAAACCTGTCAGAAAATCCTGTTCATTTTCTAGTAAATAAGTTAGAATATGCGTATCACATTCTATCATGTACGTCAGAAAATCTGGACCAAAGGATTTTTCAATCCTAACTCGCTTGTTACGTCTAGCTTCGAGCTCGGGTTCTATTTCAGACCCTCCACTACCGTTATCCACAGCCTTGTTGAATGTTCGTTTCGACGTACTAGGTCCCTCACTGGACCTACACGGAAATACATCTTCAAAGAACGATGCATTCCTTGATTCAATTATCGTGTTCTTATGTACGTCCGGATTATGGGACTCGTGTACTAAGAACCGATACGCACTACTGTTATGTGCATAGCCAATAAAGATATAGTCCACCGTCTTAGGACCTATCTTTATTTTCTTAGGTGTTGGCACCAAAACTTTGGCAAGACACCCCCACACTTTCAGGTACTGGTAGGAAGGTTTCCTACCGTTCCACAGCTCATAAGGAGTCTTATCGAGCTTCTTGCGGGGAACCTTATTTAAAAGGTAGTTACATGTCAAAATTGCCTCACCCCACATACTTTGAGGTAGGCCCGAACTTATCAACATCGCATTCATCATCTCTTTCAATGTGCGATTTTTCCATTCGGCAACACCATTCGATTGAGGTGCGTAAGGTGCCGTACGCTCGTGTACGATACCTACACTTGCACAGAAGTCACCAATAGGTGCTTAGTACTCACCACATCGATCGCTTCTAACCTTCTTAATCCTCCGATTAAGTTGGTTTTCCACTTCATTCATATAAAGAATGAATTTATCAACGACTTCATCTTTGCTCTTAAGCAAAAACACATAGCAGTATCGTGTGCTATCGTCAATAAACGTGATAAAATATTTATTACCACCGCGCGATTGTATTGATCTAAAATCACATACATCGTTATGAACCAACTCAAGTGGTTCCGTTTTCCTTTCAATCGATTTAAAAGGAATTTTTGTTTGTTTTGCCTCAACACAAATCTCACATTTGTGCTTATCAACTTGAAAAGCAGGAATATGGTCCAAGTTAATTAATCTACGTATAGAACTAAAATTAACATAACACAGTCTACCGTGCCACAAACACGAAGACTCAAGTAAGTAGGCTGAATTAATCATTCTTCCAAAGTTTCACCTCTATGACCAGTTGAGCTACCCATGCGGGCTAGGCTGAATTAATCATGCTTTTATTAATCGCGGTTATTGCATCGAGCTTGAAAAGCCCATCTAGCACATAACCCTTGCCTACGTACATTCCCAATTTTGACAAAACAACTTTGTCTGACTCAAACACTAACCGGAAGCCATTCTTATTCAACAATGAACTAGAAACTAAGTTCTTCCGTAGCTCCGGTACGTACAAGACGTTGTTCAGAGTTAGCTCTTTTCCAGAGGTCATTCTGAGAACTACTTTGCCCATGCCTTCCACAACAGACTGAGCAGAGTTTCCCATCCATACCTTCCCACTATTAGTCGTCTCGAAGGTAGTAAACAACTTACGGTTGGAACACATATGTCGGGTGGCACCCGTATCAATGAACCATTCCGTTTGGTTCGAACCAACCAGGTTTACCTCGGTCACCATTGCCGAGAGGATGATTTCGGACTCATTCTGATTAACCCGCACCACGTTAGATTCAGAATTACAAGTCTTCCTCTTAAGTGCTTTACAATCAGCCCACTTGTGGCCCATAATGCCACAATTGAAGCATTTTTCGTAGAATTGCTTCTTGTAGTCTTTTCTGCCCAAAGGCAACAAATGGATACTAGGTTCCACTTGAAAGGCTTCACTCACGATCGTTCCTTCGTCAACTTAACTTAGGACGATCCCGGAATCCACCATCTTGTATTCAAGTAATCGGCTAACGACAAACATTTTTGCCTTAGCGTCATCACTCTTATACTTTAGGTCCAAAGATTCCCACAACGAGTCACACAAACCATTCAAAACATAGTTTAGGCATAGGAAAACCAAATATTTCCAAATCCTCACTATGCTAATGGTTTGAGCGTTAAACTCAGGTTCCTTTCCACTAGGAACCATCTCGGTCAAGAACCATGACATGCCGAGAATTACAAGGTTGTTCAACGTTTTAAGTTGCAACCCTTCGAAATTCAACAACTTGAATTTCCATGGTCTTTCAACCAATCCTCAAGGTACCGTCCCATGTACCTTCATCGTAGGGATATACCCTTTGATGCCACCACCGGTCTCCGAACCAAAGTTCACCGGGGTTTCGGAAAGTGCAACTACGTTGCCGATCCGATCATTTGAATGTGCAACCCGAGCAACATTCACGGATCCACCACTCGTGGAATACATCGATTTAATCACCAAAAATTAATCGGTTTTAAGATTGTTGGAAAGGGTGAATAAATCGGTACACAAAATATATATAGAATATATATATGTCCCAAAAAATGGAATTTAATTTATAAAAAAATTAATTCCAACAAATTTTGGTATGAAAACAAAATTACATATATATATATATATATATATATATATATATATATAAACCAAATAGGGATTTATTTTATCAAAATAATCCCACCACAACTAGTACGAAACTAGTACACGGGACTTAATTTCCACGAAATTAATCCCACCACTTGGTCCGAAACCAAGAACAAAAATAAACAAGATACGGGTTTCTAACCTGAGGTTTTAACCCAACGAGAAGAAAGAAGAAGCAGAGGAAGCCCGAGTCGTGTGTACACACACTCTCCTTAAAATCGATTCGCCGCCTCCCGAGGGTGCTAGGATCGTTGTGGCGTCAGTCTCCCAGGATAAAACAGACTACGACTTTGGCGTTCGATCACTCCAACCCAAAGCCCGGCGAACTAGAACACAAGTTGAGCACTCCGATGTTTTACGGAATTATGTTGGCAAACATTTTTCTCTTTGAAACCAAGAATGAGAGTTGAGAGAAAAACAAAATGTTTTGAGACTTTCAAAAATCATGTAAAAACATTCTGCCAACATAACAAAATATATGTAGGGAAATGGGAATTAAGTAGCATTATAATGGTCATTAACCAACATAAATCCAAGATTTAATTATTGGATAATAACGTTTGAAACGGTCGTAATTATTATCGTAATAATTTCAACGGTCACGAACTTAATACGCGATTAATTCGTACCGACCACAACGACCCGTTTCAAAATATCTGAGTGACCGAGAAGTCCGTACAAATCCGAAAGGTTAACGAATTGCGATTGAAAACCACACCCGAGTGGTCACACGCACCGAAACGGTGCAGCACGAAAGGAGCTCACTAAAGAACACGAAAGGAGCTCCAATTCTCCAATGTTCACATTAAGCTATCAAAGCTTAATTACTCAACTTTTGTGTAGCACGAAAGGAGCTCCACTCCCAATTCTCCAAAATAAGCTTTTTCAAAGCTTATCACTTTGTAATGTGCTAGCAGCACATTACTTGAATTAAGCTTTCGTGTTTTAAGCTCAAAGCTTAACAAAAGCACATCTCGTGGTTAACGATTCATTAGCATAAAATGCTACTTAACTACTTGCTTAATTATCCTTTCGTTATTTGGACTTCTCTCAAATAGGTTCACCTTGAGAATCAATTTCTCATTCACTTATTACCCATTTTGAGCGTACATTATACCTAATTCTTCGTCTCATTGCGAAGAACCCGAATCCACTTTGACCCGACTCAAATAAGAAGTGAACCCACATATATTTGCACCACAAAATAATCACTCAAAATGCCATTTTTTAGCTAAAAATTCCAACAGTTTAGAAGAGAATTTTTACATACTAAAAAAATCTGAAGTTACTCTTTAAAAAAAAAAAATTGAAATTACACCATGGGTAAATTCATCGTAACAGAATCTTGAGAAGTTTGACATCTTGTTCCTCAAAATTCTAGTTTGATCCAAAACACTTGTTGTTAATTTATTAAGATAAATCAGAAATTTTTAGGACAACGTGTTTCATGTATGTGCTTAAATATCATTATTAAGCGTACGTTCTCTTATTTTGTTTGAATCTCAGGTTCTTTATACGAAACTCAGGTTGTTAACAGGAACTCAGATAAAGATGAACCAGTACGTTCCATCCACACAAGGCTATATTATGCTGCACTAAAAGGTGACTGGAAAATTGCTAAAACAATTCTTCGGGGAAATGGGAATTATGGGCGGGAAAGAATTACTAAAACCGGAGAAACAGTTCTGCACGTTGCAGCTGCCGGAAAAAACACCACATTTGTGCGGAAGCTAGTGGAGATGTTGGATCCAAGCGACTTGGAACTGGCAAACAAGCGAGGGAGAACGGCGTTTTGTTACGCAGCGATTTCTGGGGTGGTTGAAAATGCAAGAGTGATGATGCAAAAGAATCATAAACTGCCGACCATACGCGGTCACGATGAATTCACGCCAATCCAACACGCTGCTCTCAACGGCCATAAAAAAATGGTTTCATATCTCTACGAGGTCACGCCTTTTGAAGGGTTGGCGCTATCAGAACGCATTGAGATTTTGGATGCTACTGTTCAGAACGATATATTTGGTCAGATACTTTCTCTCACTCCATAAAATTTTAGTCTCTTGTCATGAAGTAGTTTTCTTTTGAAAAAGGATTGCTTTAAAAGTTTGCAGTTTTATTTTTGGCAAATCATTGTTTTGGTCCTTCAATTGGTTTGTAATTGTCCATTTACTATCTAATTTTCAATTTTTAACCAATGTGACCGGACAATTGGTCCCCGCATTCCAATTGTTTATCATCCAAAAGTCTAAAATGCCCATTAAATTAGGGTTATTAATGGTTGACTGATGGAATAGTGTCTAGGAAATTTAAATAATTGACGAAATTTAAATAATTAGAAGGTCACATTTGTTCAAATTGAAAATTAAGAATTAAATTGATAATTGCAAAACAATTGAGAAATCAAAACAGCAGCTTTCACTTTATTGTTCAAATAAGAGATATCTTTTTATCTTATCGCCCACCATTCCTATATTATCATTATCACATCGTATGCTTTGTCATATCATATCATATCACTATAAGAGCAATCCATTAGGTTTTTTTTTTTTTTTTGGTTGCAAATAATGATTTTTAGTGGGGCTCACGTAGAGAGAGAAAAAAAATCATTTATTGTGCATTGAGCGCAACATTGGCACCTAGTAGGGTAAAATAAAAATAGACTCTCACATGCTCTGTTGGGTCGGAGTATGGGGGACTCTTAGGGTTGGGGATTCAGCCATGGAAGAGGTCACTACATGCCATCTAAGCACAAGATGCTCTTATTTGGATGTATTTTAATTTTTCATCCTAATTAACAATATTATTACTCAGCCTCTAGTATTTTTTGTTTTCTCAAAATATCTTATTAGTTTTTAATCTTTCGTTTCACTGGCGAAGATTTCTGGATCCGATACTGCGTACAAGTACATATATGAAAATGAAAAAATCACTTTGTAGGGTTGGGGTAGACAAAGTTCATCGTAAAGAGTGGGTACAAGTGTTAAGAAGATGGCATGCAATAACCTTCCTTAGCCTCCTGTGTTTCATTCTTCTTCAACACCCCAAACATTTTTTTTTCAAATGTTATTTTACTTTATGCAGATGTTGCGTTAAAAATGATAGACAACAATATCAGTATAGCCACTGCAAGATTAGAAGGGGATGAATCGCTATTGCGTGTGCTCGCCCGAAAGCCCCTGGCAGTAATTGATGATCAAGAAGGGATTTTGGGGAGATGTCTTCATGCAACTTATGATGTGCTCTGTGAGTATTAATTATATTCTTTTTAAGTTCATTTGGTATATAGATAAGTAGATAACCATGCATACATTACGCCAGTATAGCTTGCTCAAGATCTTTATTATAGTTGAGTGGCAATGGCCTGTTAGTTATGTTTTCCTTCCTAGATTCATGGAGATATACAACAGCATATAAGTTATCATGCTTGCATATCCATCATTAAGTAGTTAGTTGTTTTTAGGAAAAATTACCATTTTGGTCCCTCAATGTTTTCAACTGTCAATGTAGTCCTTAGTTTTTAATTTCATTAAATTTGATTCTAGAATTATTTAAAATTTCGTCAATTAAATCCTTCCGAGGGGCCAAAATAGTGATTTCTCCATTTTTAAAATTTCGTCAATTTGATCATAGAAGGGTTTTATTGACGAAATTTAAACAATTCGAGAATTATATTAGTTGAAATTGAAAACTAGGGATTACATTGACAGTTGGAAAAAAATTGAGAGACCAAAATGTTAATTTATTCTTGTTTTTATATAACAAAACTTGTGTGAGATAGGTCGGGTTAAGACGAAAATGTAATACTTATACTGAAAAATGTAATATTGATTAAAAATAAAGTGTTTATTACTTATATGTGAAAGTATAATACTTTTTATGAAAAATGTAATATTACATTTTTTTTTCTCAAAAGTATTATACTTTTTTTATAAGTAATAAAATTTTTATTCCTAATTAGTATTAGAATTACATTTTAATAATGGTCCAACCTGATATGTTCCACGGATAACAATTCTTGAAACGATCTCAAACAAGTGTGATCTGGGTATTGTTTTAAATGAATGTAATTTTTTTAACTCGTAATTTAAAACCATGGACATCTGGCCTGATCCATCATATATATTATATTGATTTTCTTTATAGGTTTGAATTTGAATCTACAAGATTCTGCAGCGAAGAAGAAAGCCGGTGAGCTATTTGAAAAGATTTTAACCGAGTGTCTTACTTTACCAGACGACCAGTTCTTTAGCCTAATCAGGAGAACACAAATACTCCACTATGCTGCAAAAGAAGGGAATGCTGAATTTTTAACTATGATTCTCCGTAAGAGCCCTGATTTGTTGTGGGAACTAAATGAAGAAGGCCACTCCATTTTTCATGTTGCGGTGTCACATCGACAAGAAAGAGTTTTCAATATTATATACAACATAGGAGTTTACAAAGATTTGATCACTTCCATTCGAGATCGAGATGGCAACAACATTTTACACTTGGCCGCAAAAGTGAAGAAGCCAAACCCTTCCAAAGATACACATCAAGAGGCCACCAGTGATACCTGCAGACCACAGAACCCAAGAGACGAGTGCTCTGAGGTTCCCAGTAATTCAAGGGCTCCATCCAGCCCAAAATTTATTTTTTTTCTTTAAATAATCCATGCCGGCCTATATATTATTATTATTGCAAGCAATATATACTAGTTCCATTCTAACAATTTAATTTGGACCTACTTGATACAGGAGGTAGATATGATTTTACCAAAATCACTTCTCAAATTATCCACAGCACTCCTTCAGGTTCGAAGAGATGTCACATGGTTTAAGGTGAGAATTGGACTAGTTTTTAATTTTAACTCATAATTAAGGACCTTGTGCTCTATTGGAATATTAATGTATATTTGGAATGAGGTGAGCCGTGCAGGAGCTGAAGATGATTGTTCCATCATCATTTCTAGACACGAGAAATAAGGATGATAAAACCCCGGAGCAAATTTTTAAAGAACAGCACACTGCAATGTTGAAAGATGGAGTAAAATCCATTAGAGAATCAGCAAAAACTTGCCTGGTGGTGGCAGCTTTGATTTCGACAATGTCTTTTTCTTCGGCCATCAAACTAACAGACATTGTTGGATCAACGTCTAATGACGGATACAGTCCCACAGTGTACAGGATTTTCGATGCGGCGGCATTGTTCACCTCAATAGTGTCCATTATCATGTTCTTGTCCATCACTTCGTGCTACACAGAAGATGATTTTGCTTCGCTCTCGCTGAGGTTGCTGATTGGACTGGCGACATTGTGTTTCTCCATAGGTAGCATGTTAGTGGTTTTCGGTGCGGCGTTTTTGTTGATGTATACAGATGGGCATGCTTGGGAGCTAGAAATGGTTTCCGTCCTTTGTTCCGTTCCGGTTGCTCTAGTTTTTACACTATATTACGAGCAATGGTTTGTCTTGTTGCGTACAAGGTACATTAAATCAAGTAAGCTCAAGCTTTGCTGATGATGCAATGTTTAGAGGCCATCCATTTGATCTTTTCATCCCAATTAAATTTAGTAGGAAGCTAAGATTACAAAGTATGTTTAGTGTTACTTGGGAAATTGAAGAATTAAAATTTCCTGAAGAGTTATGCCACGTGTATTGATCCTTTAAATGTTCTAATAATTATTTTTAAATGTCCAATATAAACATGCACAAACAACTTAGGGATGTCAAATGGCTCAGCCCGTTGGGTTTTGAAATAACCCTAGAGGGCGGTTAGGCTTGGCTTGAGCTAAATGATTTTTTATTTTTTCTTTTTGAGTTGGGTTAGCCCTAACCCTATACAACGGGTTGTTGGGCTAATCCAACGGGCTAAATCACTAAACAAAAATTAAAAAATAAGAGAGGATTTCCACAATAGATGGAGAGGCCGGGATGAGTTTTGAAAAATCTACCCCCCTCCCCCCCCCCCCCCCCCCCCCCCCAACACACATATAGGTTCAGGTTCAGGTGCGTTTAAGCGTTTCCCGTGCGGTTGTGCGGGTGATTAATGTGTGCGAGTTTTGTACTTAATGTGCGTGAGTCTTGTGCTTAATGTGCGTGAGATTTGTGCTTAATGTGCGTGAGTGTGTAAAGTTTAATGTACGTGAGTTTTGTACTTAATGTGCGTGAGTCTTGTGCGTAATGTGCGTGAGTGTATACTTAATGTGAGTTGTTGTTGAAACTTTAAAGTGCATAAGTTTTATGCTTAATGTGCGTGAGTCTTGTGCGTAATGTGCGTGAGTGTATACTTAATGTGATTTGTTGTTGAAACTTTAAAGTGCATAAGTTTTATGCTTAATGTGCGTGAGTCGTGTGTTTAAGGTGCGTGAGTCGTGTACATAATGTGCGTGAGAGTGTACTTAATATGAGTTGTTTTAAAACTTAAGGTGTGTGTGCTTTTGTGCTTAACATGCGTGAGACTTGTACTTAACATGCGCGAGGCTTGTGCTTAACATGCGTAAGGTTGTGTTCTGAAGGTGTTTTGTTTGTGTGCTTAATGTGCGTGCGTTGTGTGTACTTTAAGTGCGTCAGATTAATGCTTAACGTGCATCCACCCGCACGGGAAGCCTCAAATGCACCTTATCCCTTCCATATATATATATATATATATATATATATAGGGGTGATCATATGTGGTCATGTTGTTAGGTGTGGCCATATGGTCAATTATGGGCCATTAGATTAGATAGATCCAATGAATCACATTAATCAAGACTCTTCCAGTATTTTCGCGCATATTCTCTTACCCAGCGAACTGCAAGGGTAAATTCGTCATAAGGCACCAGAATATGGAAAATCACATTGTTGTGTCTTTTATTTGTGTAATTGGTGTATTATTAGCCTTACTCTGTATTTGTAGATTCCCATTGGTGCCAAGTTCAGGTGCGGCAACGCCTTCCCGTGTGGTCAGTGCGGCCGCACCAATTGTTATACAAATGTACATAATCCATGTTATGAAATGCACAACAAAAAATATACACAAATTATGTACGCATCACAAAAAACACGCCATTAGATATGAATAAGTACACCATACAGTGTTCGGGAATACACTATTGGTGTGTTTTATTACACTATTGGTGCATGTTGTCAACACTATTGGTGTATTCTAGAACCCGACCGCTATAAATGGCCACTGTAATTACCATAACACCCCCACGCGCGAAATCCTCATAATTAGCCACTGCTGTTAGATTAAACTGATTCAACGACACATATATGACCACACCGCCACACCTAATGACATGACCACATACGAGCGCTCTTCTATATATATAATTCACATGCCACAAATCCATAATCAACATAAAGTTCAAAACAAAAAATTTCACAAATCCACAATCAATATTAAACCTCAAAACAAAATTAAAAATGCCACAAATCAACAATCAACATTAAAGTTCAAAACAAAAAACAAATGCGAATAAATAAACTACTATTTATTTAGTACTACAAATTCCTATATGACATCAATTAAAAATTTCATAATGCTTATGCTTGCAGTTCAAAATGCGAAAAGAAATTCAAAATGCAAATAGTAATTAGAAATTTAAATGCTTGCAGACTTATAGCACGTTTGGTTCACGGAATGAATTTTGAGGTAATAGGAATGCTATTCCATAAGGAATGGAATAGGTAAGGAATAGAATATGAATTGTATTATATTGTTTGGTTTGCGGAAGGAATAGACTTTAGGAATTATATTACAGTGTTTGATTGATTTAAGGAATAGAAATGAAATATGTTTTAAAAGACATAAATACCTTATAAAAATATGTGATGGTGGTGATGGTGGTGGTGGTGGTGGTGGTGGTGGCGGCGGCGTGGTGGTGGTGGTGGTGGTGGCGATGGTGGTGGCGGTGGTGGTGATGGTGGTGGTGGTGTTGGGGTGGTAGTGGTGGTGGTGGCAGTGGCAGTAGTGGGGGCGACGGTGGTGGTGGTGATGACGGTGACGGTGACGGTTGTGGCAGTGGTGGTGGGGGCGGTGACGGTTGTGGCGGTGGTGGTGGTGGTGGTGGTGGCGGTGGTGCTGCTGGGTGGTGGTTCTGGCGGCGGTGGTGGTGGCGGCGGCGGCGATGGTGGTGGCGGTGGTGGTGGTGGCGGCGGCGGCGGCGATGGTGGTGGCGGTGGTGGTGGTGGCGGTGGTGGTGGTGGTGGTGGTGGGGTGGTAGTGGTGGTGGTGGCGGTGGCGGTGGTAGTGGTGGGGGCGGCGGTGGTGGTGGGGGCGGCGACGGTTGTGGCAATGGTAGTGGTGGTGGCGACGGCGGCGATGGTGGTGGTGGTGGCGGCGGCGGCGGCGATGATGGTGGTGGTGGCGACGACAGTGGTGAAATAGGATAAATTTATATATAGGATAAAAAATTTAGGTTAAAGAAAAGGGTAAAAAAAAAAATTAGATTCTAAAATCTATTCATGAGTGTTTAATAATAGGCTAATACCAGGGGGGCCCTAGTAATAACTATTACCTTATTTGAGGTAATAAGCTATAATCAGGAATATTATTCCTGGTAATAGAAATGGTTACCAAACAAAGTAATAGGCCTATTACTGGGAATGTTATGCAATTCCCAGCCTATTCCGTGAACCAAACAAAGTAATAGGCCTATTATTGGGAATGCGACAAATTATGCCTTGGACCCGTGTCCACAGTGAATTGTGGACACGGGCCCAAAACGACGTCGTTTTTCAAAAAAAAACGCGTCATTTAGTTAAAAAAAAATCGCGCGCGTTTTGCCGTTAACGGCGTTTTTTTTTTTTTTTTGGATTATGAATGTACAGTTATGCCGTTATGAATGTACAGTTATGCAATTATGAAATTATGAACACAGAGCTCTAACATTATGAACTTACAATTATGAAAATATATAGTGATAAAATTATGACCATGGAGCTTTAAAATTGTGAATATAGAGCTTCGAAGATTATGAATGTACAGTTATGGAGTTATGAATCTACAGTTATGGAGTTATGAATCTACAGTTATGAGATTATGAATCTACAGTTATGGAATTATGAATGTATAGTTATTGATCGAATTATGAACAAAGAGCTCTAACATTATGAACTTACAATTATGAACATATAGTGATAAAATTATGAACATAGAGCTCTAAAATTGTGAACATAGAGTTTCGAAAATTATGAATGTATAATTATAGAGTTATGAATGTACAGTTATGGAGTTATGAATGTACAGTTATGGAGTTATGAATGTACAGTTATAGAGTTATGAACGTACAGTTATGGAGTTATGAATGTACAGTTATTAATAATATAGTAATAAAATTATGAATATATACTCCTATAACAAAGCGGTCTGAAATTTAAAAAAAAAAAAAAAAAAAAAAGATAACAGTTCCAGCAAGCATGCTGGACACGGGTCCAACGCATAACGATTGTGGGAATGCCCAGCCTATTCCGTGAACCAAACGGGCCATTACAGTTCAAAATGCGAATAGAAATTCAAAATGCAAATAGTAATTAGAAATTCAAAAATTCAAAATGCTTGCAGTTCAAAATAATAGAAACAAACTAGAAGTCTAGAATGAGAAATTTAAAATTACTTGCAGTCCGCAGTCCGTTGTTCGACGGAATTACTGCTAGAGATTGGGCTAGGTGATGTTCGTGACTTCGTCCCTTCTGGGTTATGTATCGGTAGACGCAGTTGAACGGTGGAGACCCAGACGCAGTTGAACGGCAGAGACGCAATCGCAGACGCACGGCTGAAACAACAAAAACCTTGGTAAGTCGCGAGCTTATTATCTTTCACAATTTCATTCCTATTTTTCTTTGATTGTTATAATAATATTATTATTATAATTGTTAAACCAAGTAGTAATTAATTTGTTAGAAGTTAAAGTATGCTCGAATATCAGAAAAAGAAATAGTTTCGACATTTGATCTTTTCGTCGAGATAAAGACATAATAATCGGATACAATATAAATAGAATCTTTTTTAGAACAAGTAACCCCCTTTAGATGTTATTTTATGACTTTTATTGTTCAAAAATGATTCGCAAAGAAAAGAGATATTTTGACGAAATTGAGTCTTTTTAGTAGAATATGATTGTGAAGTGTATAAGAACATGAGGTTTTATTTAGTTGTATTTTATAAATTAAATAAACACGTGCGAAAATCTCTATAGTCTTCTCTTTTTTATTGTTTTGCTGTTCTATTCAGGACTGCACGGGTTGAGTTCTATCAAAACAAAATTTTAAGTTTCTATTCAATGCAAAATGAAAATTGCAATATGAGACTTTTCTGATATCTGATAACTCTTTCTAGGGAACCTTTATAGGGAACAACTAGAATATAAAGTACGTGGGTCATGTTTAGCAGTTAACATTACTTGGGATTGAAACATGTATGTTAACGTGGAGAGTGCTCATGATGGAGTTAATACCATCTGAGGTCCCCCGAGTATAGTGGTTTTGTCATGTTTAGTCCTAAACTTTCAAATTGACCATATGTGGTCCTTCGACTTTCAAACTTAACCATTCGTGGTCCAAGTTAACCACACATGGTCCTTCAACTATTAAATTGTAACCATCCATGGTCCCTTCATGAGGACCACTACTGGTTAAATTTCAAAACTTGAA